TCGACATGGTTCTTCCAAGTGAGTTTTTGGTCCATTTTGACTCCAAGGTATGTGCTGGAGTCCTTCCAGTCGACCTCAACTTCTTCGTCTCTTCTCCAGCATCTCTCTATTCTGGTGGTCGTCATCTTTATTTTGGTTTGAAGTAATGTTCGAACCCGTAGTTATAATAAAAATGTTCCATTTTTATACCCCTACTCATTTCGGTCGGACCATCGACTGAGCGCTTCGTCGCCAGACATCTCGTGTTAAATTGCATGAGCCGTTTGAGCTGTAGACCGACAATTAGATATTTCGAAGATATTTCCAGACTATAATCTATCTCTGTACCAAATTTCACCCAGACCCGTTCAGCCATTTTTGCATAATTGAGTAACAAAATCCACACTTTCTCATATATAAGTAGGGATCTAAAAAAATCAATAAACGAGTATTTCACAATCTTAATCTGTTCCCTGGGTACATCGGATGCGTATATTAGGCAGATGTTACTTGTAATCAAGCCTTCATCAATAACTGACCTATAACTGCAATCATCCCAGTTTCAAAGCGTGCTGCACTACGTCGTCACGGCAGCAGCAGCTGTATTGTACAGCGTACTTCACAACGTGACTGAACCTCGATTACATTCCTCTTTGTTATAAGAGGCGCCTGTCTGACATATGGAACTGTAACCTTCACCTCATAACATATATGTGAGACAATGAGGTGTCGCATTGTCAAGGGACAATGGAATGGCGAAGAAAGAATGGAAGGGGTGATATTGCAGGATACTTAAGCGCATATAACTGTACTGGTAAAAAATCCTTGGTAGAAACAAAGTGTTGAAAATTTGGAAGCCCTTACAGATAACTGTTACAGTATTAGTAGTCGAGATAATAAAGGCATTTGGACAAACGTTCGTCATCAGCATATATATTGCTTTTGTTAGCTGTTTATCAATTCTAGATCTCAATGTCAGGTCGATATGTACTTGGATCCAATTATACTATCAGAAAAATTATTGGTAACTACTTCAATTCGCTATTTGAAATTTGTATACAATAGTAGTTGGATTTGTTTGAATTGCCTTATTATTTGTAGCTATAAAATTTGTTTTCCCATACTTGACTGTTGAAAACGGTGTGATTACTGGTGATGAAGCAGCCTCTTTATATGTTGAGTAATACAAGTTTGGTTCTTTGTCAATGACCTTGACCAAATCAATTTATCAGGATTCTTTTGTGTCTATTTCTATTGCTATGTCTACTCGTTTCGTCATTATAAACTTTTCTCAAGGCATCAAATATATGCAGTATCTTGTAATTGATCCTGGGTTTTGTTTCTATGAAATCCTGCAGATAGCATGTTTCTTTAAAACTTTATTTGCGTCCCGCATCTCTGCTCTGTGCGCACGATCTTACTTCAGATCTGCTACCGCAAGTTCACTTTGTGCCCGCATTCATACTGCAAATTTCTCACCTCTGTTACGAAATTAGCCGTATAATAGTCTCTACATTAGGTAACCAACGACTCTTAAAAGAAAAAATAAGTCCTCTGGCATAATTAACTTTTTAAAGCAAGGGTTGGCACGTTAAGATCAACATCGTAAAAGGATGCAATTATAAAAATGCTGAATCCGCTTTTACTGCTTTAGGCAGATGCATGTTTCTCTTTATTTGAATTCGCTGCAAAGGCTGTCACCAAATACCTTTTCACGACTACAATCTTTAACAGCAAAATAGACCGATGGCATGCAACTGCATAGTTTATGCTACTTATGTCGAATATAGGTGTAGCTCTAAAATATCTCACTTTTTAATCAACGCCAAGTTAGGCGATGATTAAGAATCTGAAGCAGCAAGGAAAAACGCACAAAACACTGAGAAGCTTTACTAATTCATCCTCCAGAAGAAAGATAATTTCGGGGCTGGTAAAGGGAACTGTGTGAAGAGTTTAATTATGTGCTCTTTCGTTATGGACACTCCTTTTCTTTACCTGCTATCAAATTCAAATTTGCACGTCGATATATTATCTCGTACCTAGTATACAGGGTGTTTCAGTTTATTGTTGCATAACTTTAAGATTCGATAGAACTTTTAAAATTAATGCATACAGTCTATACAAACATGGGTCGAAAAATGCGTGGCTTCCGAAATACAGGGTGTTTAAATTTACTTTCTAAAATAGCTTTTTTTAAATATTTCGGACAATATTTGATGTATAACAGTGAAAATTGGTATACAAGGGTTTTTTGGTACGACAAAACGAACCATTGGCATAGTTTTACTGTAGCCGATAGAGCGCGCTCTCTACTGTACCTGCAGTGTACCAAAATGACCGAAAAATTTTTTTAGTGCAATTTTTTGCTTTTTGAATAAAAAAAACTGATTCTTCGCACTTTTCAACATAAAAAAGCTCTCTTGTGAATTTTCGTTATAGTTAGCCGTTTTTGAGATATTTCGATTTTTAAGGTTCGATGCATTTTTAATTATTTATGGTAGAATAACGTTAAAAAGTCAGTATCTCGATAATTTTTAGAAGTAGGCTGTGCCTGCAAATATTTTTGAAATTGAAAGCAGAATAAGGTTAAACGTCAATTAGTTGATAGTTAGTTTTGTTGTCTGTTGAAACGTGAAACGTTGTTTTGCAATTGTGAATGCACGAAATTTAGTTTCTTTCACCTGTTTTTTTTTGTACGTTTTATAAAAATGCCATTTGTATTCTCCAACCAAGAGCTAGTGGATATTCATCTTGTGTATGGCTTTGTAAATGGAAACGCAGCAGAAGCAGCCAGAGAATACGCACGAATATTTCCAAACAGACGACATCCAACTCGCTCAGTATTTGTAAGAGTGCATCGCCAAATAATTGAAAATGGTTTTGGAAATCTCCAAAGGGATCAAAACATAAATTGTCGTCAGCGCAGATTTACCCGTATGATTCTGCGTGAGTTTGATAGAGATCCGACCACAAGTGTTAGGAGAGTTTCTGGTGCCTTGGGAATTTCAGCACGCCATGTTCACCGTGTTCTTAGAAATGACCATAGACGTCCTTACCATTTGCAACCTGTGCAAGGACTACAGCCAGGCGACGGAGAACGAAGAATCACATTTTGTCAGTGGATTCATGCTTCACTAGACGTGGAGTGGTAAATTTTCATAATCAACATATTTGGTCGCATGAAAATCCGCATGCAGTTCGGGAAAGAAGTTTTCAGCATGAATTTAGTGTGAACGTGTGGATTGGTATCTACCGTAATCGATTATTTGGACCCTACCTTTTGCCTGCCAGGTTAAATGCTGCGACCTTCTTAGAATTTTTAAAGGCTGAACATGCAAATATGTGGGATGATGTTATGTTAGATTTAAGAAGATTGGCCTGGTTCCAGCTTGATGGTTGTCCAGCTCATTATTCGAGAATAGTTAGAAACTGGCTGGACGAAAATTATCCAGAAAGATGGATCGGCCGTGGAGGACCAGTCGCCTGGCCTCCACGATCCCCTGACCTAAATCCATTAGATTTCTTTGTGTGGGGATTTCTAAAAGAAAAAGTGTACCAGACTCCCGTAACCACGAGAGATATGCTAATAGACAGAATCAGGAATGCATGTGATGAAATAAGGCCTTATTTGAATAATGCTATACCACGTTCGATCATTCGTAGGTGTGAATTGTGTATTGAATAATTGGGTTAACATTTCGAGCAACTACTTTAGATTTTGTCTGTTTGTCTTAACTATCCAATAGCATTTTAGTTGTAAATAATTAATTTAATTTGTTAAAAATAATATTGGAAAATTAAACAAATTAATATTCTGCTTTTTTTGTGTTTATTTGGAGTTAAGAATTATTGCTGCGTTTAAAAACACAATCTAAACGATCATCTTAATTACTTGTAATGCCCAAATCGAAAATGTAAAAAAAATATTATTTTCCCATAAATAATTAAAAATCGAAATATCTCAAAAACGGCTAACTATAACGAAAACTCACAGGAGAGCTTTTTTATGTTGAAAAGTGCGAAGAATCATTTTTTTCATTCAAAAGCAAAAAAATTGCACTAAGAAAAAATTTTCGGTCATTTTAATACACTACAGGTACAGTAGAGAGCGCCCTCCAGAGGCTACAGTACACCCTATATTTCGGAAGCCACGCATTTTTCGACCCATGTTTCTATAGACTTTATGCATTAATTTTAAAAGTTCTATCGAATCTAAAAGTTATGCAACAATAAACTGAAACACCCTGTCTCTTATTGACAACTCTAAAAGCTTCTATTTGTGGTTTATTTTGTGCCCGATCTCGTATTGCAGATGTCTCACGTCTGTGTAATAGTATCTACGTTAAGTAACTAACGATTCTTAAAACAAAAAAAGTTCTGTGGTATTAACCTCATTATGAACTTTTTACAACAAGGGTTGGCACTTTAAATCCATCATCGTAAAGGGTTGCAAGTAAAAAAATTATGAATCCACTTTGACTGCAATAGGCAGGTGTGTATGTGCTTCTTTATTTGAGTTCCCTGCAAATGCTGCCACCAAAAATCTTTTCACGTCTACAATCGTTAACCACAAAATCTACGGCATACAACTGCATAGTTCAGTCTCCTTATGTCGAATATAGCTTTAACATAATATCTCACTTTTTATTCCACGCCAAGCTAGGCGATTATTAAGAATGTAAAGCAAAAGTGAAAAGCACAAAAAGCCTTACTAATTCATCCTCCAGACGAAAGATACTTAATAGGAAACACTTGAAGGACAAGGTTCTAGTTCTGGGTTATTATGTTATGGACACTCCATTTCTTTATCTTTTCTCCAATTCAAATTTGCACGTCGCAATATTTTGTCATAGGGACTTGCTAGAATATTTTATTTGACCACTCTGAAAGCTGCAATTTGCGGCATCTGTTGTGATAACTGTGTTTCGTAAGGAAAAGAAAAGAAAAACAATGCCCTGAGTCCTTCAATTATACATTCATAGTAGGTAATCTAGTGTTGAAGGACATGTTTCTCGTTTCAGGTAAAGGGTCCCCGAGGCCAGTTATTTGTCAGCACCACGGACAGTCTCAGCGGCCATCCAACATTTTTGCCGCAAGTCTTGGCCTCATTGGCCGTCTCTTTGGGCCCTTTGGCCGCTGGTCTTGGAAAAGGATATAGTTCGCCGGCTATAGCGTCACTCACTCAAAGAACGGTAAGCGCTCCCGATTTTCGATTTTACTTGTTTTTGGTTAAATTATGTGTGTACGTTTGGCTTTTGTATAGCAGCTCTAGTTTTAAATACATGCAGTTGACAAAACAATGATTTTTTATTTTAAACAGTTACTTGCTTTGGGTAAAAAATATCTTTTATAATATTTTCGTGAATAAGGTGCCGGTTTTAGATCCATATAAAGAATCCCTCAGTCATCAGCCAAATATGTGTGTCCCATCTCCCTTGGTAACGTTTTTCCATTGTGAGAATATCCCGATGAAATATTCCGCCTCGCTCTCCATCATAATGGTTTTCAAGAAATCGAATCAACTGGAAAAATAAATAGTATAGTGATGCTCCTATTACACCCTGGATATTTCAAACTATATCGTCAACGAATTGTAAATTATTCTCTGATTTGATTCCCAAGAAAAGTTCAGAACACTGAAGCGAAAGACCCCAAGTTCGAAACAAGACAGCGCAATGCGCCATCTATCACCAAAATCTACCACTGCGGAGAATGCATAGCAGCTATTTGTTGGAACCGCAAGGGTTCTCAGTTCGCGTTTAATAGCCCAGTCACGATATGACCGCTAGTTGGCTGACGATTCTGGCTATACGAGTATAGTAGATGCGGTTTACTTGCAATTGCACAAACTAAATATGATGCTGTTGTCCGTCTGACCAAATGACAGCAAATCATAGACTGCTGTTTCGTGCTTTATAGCTACTCACCAGCTTGGTCGCTCGTCTCTGGGACAACGAAAGAAAGCATCGCAATTATCCTCTATCCAGGAGGTACGGTCTATCGAAACAAGACAACGCAAATCGCCATTTATTACCAAAATCGACCATCGGAATCAGTTTCATAATAACTAACAATACCTTAACTAATTAAGCGATTATATGGAAATTGAACAAGAATTTTTCTGATGAAGGATTAGACTTTTTGAGATTTTATTTAATCCATTTTAATAAACTCAAATACAACGCTATAAAATTTTTGGAGGACTGTAGTTGGGGTCCGTTACAATATCTTACAAAGGTTTCAGAAAAGTGACTTGTCGGAATCTAACCGGTTATTGAACACATTGTTATAACCATGAGACCTACTTAAACTGTCGGAATGCTTACAATGCATATGCGGAAAACACTATGCATGCAATAGATTTGCGAGAATTTGTTATATCTTATGTTGACTCAATGTATGATGTGTACTATTAAAATGATATAAAATGTATGTAGTCTAATTAGCAGTACTGCGCTATTGCTAGACCTTCTGACTATTGTGACACCATCATGTGAGGTCTTAGATAGTTGACATGCTGTTAAAATTTTGTTGTCATTCCTCAAGGTTATTAGGGGTCAGATTTATGGACCCTCATTAAGGCTCGAGGCTTCATTGAAAGCAATTGATAACAGATATCTTCTTGAAAAGAGTAAATCAATGACGCTTTCTTGAGGGATTTTCAAGGGAGGCTGTAACAGTTATCATCACAAGCTGACAAGACTTTTCTTTGCTAGCCGTAGCTATTTGGCATTTTTTGATAAAACTGACACGATTTGTTTCATTAATGCTGACGATCAATAAGCAATGCAGCATGATTATGTGTTTGATTCCTCGAATTACATCGCAATCATAGAGAAGTAAAAAACTGAATATATGCTACCAGTTGCACCGAATCGCTCTGCAGGTGCAGGTCTATAGTTTACCTTTGTCAGATTCAACTACTACACTATTTCACAAAAAACATATGCTATACCCAAACTTTACGAGTATATTATTATAAATTAGAATGTGTGACTATGAGAAAAAAAGTCGCAGCATCAGAGCAATTCGGTGCAGCTGGTTGTCTATATTCAGTTTTTTACTCATCTGTGAATGCGCTACAATTCGAGAAAGCAGAGACATTATTATTTTGCATTGTTTTTTGATATATCTAGCAAAAAAAACAAAATGTCCAAATTTTGTCGATGACCGCTTGTGATGACTGTGAAATGAAAATCTAAATCCTTCCTTGAACGTTCCTCAATGAACCGTTATTTTTTTAATGTTTTCAAGTAGAGATCCGACGTTTAGTGGCATGTACCTCCCTACGTTTTGGAAACACTTGGGTGCACTTTCGGGCTTAGTTTTGATATACTGTTTGTTCTCAGCGTGACACTCCTGCCCCATCAGACTCGTTTCCAACAGTTAGCGCACAACAAACGTCTTGGTTAGCTTCGCTGTCATTGTTGGGCGCCCTTTTTGGCGCTCCAGTGGGCGGAGTTGCAGTAAGATTTGGCCGCAAGAGGGCGCTGGTGTTAGCTGGACTGCCGCTTTCCTTCTGCTGGGCTATCACTGCGTGGGCGGCTAGCGTTGAAGTCATGTGTTTCGCCGCCTTTATTAGCGGGTAAATACTATAAGGGTTTCATAATAATCTATGCTTCCATTCTTAAGTGCAGGTTCATTTAAATTTCAATATCAGCTTTTTATACCAACGGACTTTTATTTCCTTTTCGACATACTCGCATTCTATAAGAGTCGGCTTGAATAAGATATCAGCCTGAGCTGATGAACACAGTTGAATCTTTCATGGAAATAAAATAAAAAGTGACTCTTATGGAACAGGCTTACCCCGCTTCTGTTTCTTGGTAGCCGATTAAGCTATTTTAGAAAATTGAAGAAAGCATAAGCGGAGACATACTGAAGACTCAGTACTATAGCTGTTTGCCATACAACAAATACACTAGATATTCCTTCTCTACCAGAAAACCAATCAGAGATGTGACTTATTTAAGATACATCGATAAATATCTGGAATACAGATACAAGATAAAAATACGCATTTTCATCTTCTAAGATACTTTTTTAAAATTGTATTTTTATCCTGTACCTATACCCCATTCGTAGTCCATCTTCGTCCAGACAAAACACAATATGCCCAAAACCGAGGTCCATATTTTCCGCAATGGTCTTGGAATAATCAAACAAAATAAATGATCATTTTTATGCATAAAACAAATTTTTCACGTCAGAGAATTTGAATTTTCTGTTTGCCCAAATCATTTCAATGGGATTTAGTTCTCAGTAATAACGGGGTAGCCTTAAAATGGTCTTATTTTGCTTTTTAGCGATTTCGTCAATAACATTAAGATTATATTTATATTTGTGCTGCCTGACTAGATGGATTCACTCTACTTGACACCATTTTTACAACACGAATGACAAATTGGTTAGATACACGTACCTGACCGATTCTTTAGGCCAGTGGTTAGTCCATCTAAGAAGGCTTGTCTTGCTGATTCAATTGTAGAGCCAGCCCATACCTTAGGTTTTGTATGCCCTGCATTTATCCAGGTTTCATCCAAGTAATAAATCTTCCTGTCCTAGTCGCGGTATTTCTTTATTGATTTTAAATAATTTCTTCTCCATAAAATAGTCTCTTGGCTGTCCATCAAAATACTACTTCTGCCCCATTTTTTATACTCAAAAGTTCTTTGGGTTAATTATAGAATGTGGTCCTTTTGAAAGTAGGGAAGTCTTCATCGCTGTTAACCTCCTATAATATTTTGTATATGGTAGGAACTTCCTGCCTTTCAAAAAATTGATGGACTTTGCGTCTGATGGCATTCGGATCAAACCTATCAACTGTATCCAACAGCTTCGTGTAATGTAGCCTCTTGTGTGGTGAAGACAATTTTTTGTCTTTTTTATATTCATTAACAATGTTGAAAATTGTGCTTAGGACAATATGCCTGTTTTGTGCCCCATACGTCTTTCAATATCATGAATTTTCATTTCAGGATGCTCTAAAATTTTGCTCTTAGAAACGTTAAGAAAAGAAATGTTTGCTTGAATATTCAAATGTCCCTTCTTGTCACGTTTTCGGAGAGGAAGAATAGCTGGAAGAAGCATTGGGAGAAATCCAGGGTGTTTCAGTTTATTGTTGCATAACTTTAAGATTCGATAGAACTTTTAAAATTAATGCATAAAGTCTATATAAACATGGGTCGAAAAATGCGTGGCTTCCGAAATATAGGGTGTTTAAATTTACTTTCTAAAATAGTTTTTTAAAATATTTCGATGATGTATAATAGTGAAAATTGGTATACAAGGGTTTTTTGGTACGACAAAACGAACCGGACATAGTTTTACTGTAGCCGCTAGAGGGCGCTCTCTACTGTACCTGTGGTGTATTAAAATGACCGAAATCTTTTTCTTAGTGCAATTTTTTGCTTTTTGAATAAAAAAAATTATTCTTCGCACTTTTAAGCTTAAAAAGCTCTCTTGTGAATTTTCGTTGTAGTTAGCCGTTTTTGAGATATTTCGATTTTTAAGGTTCGATGCATTTTTAATTATTTATGATAAAATAACGTTAAAAAGTCAGTATCTCGATAATTTTTAGAAGTAGGCTGTGCCTGCAAATATTTTCGAAATTGAAAGCAGAATAAGGTCAAACGTCAATTAGTTGACAGTTAGTTTTGTTCTCTGTTGAAACCTGAAACGTTTTTTGCAATTGTGAATGCACGAAATTTAGTTTCTTTTACCTGTTTTTTTTTTGTAAGTTTTATAAAAATGCCATTTTTATTCTCCAATCAAGAGTTAGCGAATATTCATGTTGTGTATGCCTTTGTAAATGGAAACGCAGCAGAAGCAGCCAGAGAATACGCACGAAGATTTCCAAACAGACGACATACAACTCGCTCAGTATTTGTAAGAGTGCATTGCCAAATAATTGAAAATGGTTTTGCAAATCTCCCAAGGGATCAAAACATAATTGTTCGTCAGCGCAGATTTACCCGTATGATTCTGCGTGAGGTTTACATTTCGGGCAACTACTTTAGATTTTGTATGTTTGTCCTAACTATCCAATATCATTTTAGTTGTAAACAATTAACTTAATTTGTTAAAAATAATATTGGAAAATTAAACAAATTAATATTCTTTTTTTTGTGTTTATTTGGAGTTAGGAATTATTGCTGTGTTTAAAAAATATTATTTTCCCATAAATAATTAAAAATGCATCGAACCTTAAAAATGGAAATATCTTAAAAACGGCTAACAATAACGAAAACTCACAGGAGAGCACAGAAAAGTGCGAAGAATAAAAAATATCGTTTTGCTACAAAAGTATTTCATTTTTAAAAATCATTTAAAATATACGTATTTTGTATCTAGTATTTCAGATACCATTCTTGAAAAATTTTAGTATCTGGTATCTAAAGTACTGATTTTAAAAGCGTCTTGTATTTAGCATTCCAGAGGGTTTGCATAGGGTATTTTGTACATATAGTTCTGCGAATAAAAATGTCATAAAAAATGGAGTGCCTAGCCATTTAAACCCAGAAGCAAAAAGGAATAGTTCAAAACGCGATGCGTTTTATTTATTTGTACTAAGGGTATTCTTGAGAATGTGAAAGCTTTGAATATCTGGTCTCAGTTTCGATACCCTTGGTGTAGGTTGAGTGAATAAAACTGTGTATTGCTTAGCTGTTCACATTATGCCATGCGAAAGCGTTATAGGGCAGCGCTATTGAGGTGAGGTAGCGCAGTAATGGCTCTGTCGTTATTCAAGTTCAAGATTGGAAGGCTGGATACAATTTAATGCTACCCGCATTGCGCCTTCAAAATACAAACACAAACGTTTAATATAAGTCAAATATGAATAAACAACAATATACGAAGGAAAAGACATGTCCTCGTAGCAAAGTGTCCCTCTACAATACTTATCCACTCGCTCCAAATATCTATTGCGTAACTGCTAATTTTACCATTTGTTCTGAGTTGTGGCTTAAAGCTTTCACAGCTGCTCATCACTTTCCCTCTTGCATTCACCCTTTCCGCATTTACACATTCTTCACAATTTCTATCTCAGTCTAAATCTACTTTTATTTTTCACTAGTATCCCGCTTTTGCTGCCATTATCTTTCATTCTAATTTTTGCTTCCCTCTTGTCATACATCCACGCAATCTCCTATTCTTCTCATCCTGATTTTTCGTTATGGTCCGCTTTCGTCATTCCTGCATCCTGCATTCTTCTAACCCATATAATCCTCACTTTCATACCTAGCTCCCTCATATACCCAACCATTTCTTTGACTTTCACCCTGATCGTACCTTTTTCACGCCTCGTCCACTTATGCATCCGACGGCGTCCTGACTGTCTGTTCTTACTATCAGCAGCGACCATTTATGCATCCATTCCATGCATACTTCATTGTTCTTATTCACTATACCTCTCACACCAGTCTTACCTTCTTTCATTATAACATCAAGACTTGCTATTCACCCACTTTCGAATTCTTTGTCCCTGTCTTCTTCATTCATTGCACCTGTTTTCCAAATTGGGTGAGGGCTGCCAGACGATATAAACGCTACTCTCTGATCGTCATATTGTTGCCAATATAAATAATGTAATAAGTAAATTTCATTTTATAAGCACAATTTCAATGACTTGTATCTCACAGAAACATTCCGTAATACTTCCGGACCTTCACCCTAAAAAACAACCACTATTTTAAATCACTCTTTATTTACTTAGCATCGTTTTGTTTCGTAGCTTTCTGGTGTCTATCGTCCAACTCTCGGCCCAAGTCTACGTCAGCGAAATAGCAGCACCAAGTATCCGCGGAGGTTTGAGCGCCATGCTAAAGGTTGCAGGTCATGCAGGTGTCTTAGTGGCCTTCGCAGCTGGGGCTTTCTTGGACTGGAGGCGATTGGCAGGCATGATAGCCTTCGCGCCAGCTGCTATGTGCGTTTTGCTGCTGAGGGTGCCAGAAAGTCCAGGATGGCTGGTGTTGAGCGGAAAAGACGGGGATGCAGAAAAGGCTCTTAGGTGAGAAAGTTAACTTTATTAAGATACCCGGAAGCTAAACACCGGGGCACCGCAGCTACTATAAGAAGCCTAAAGTCATCATGTTAATCCAATTTTTGAGCTGCCTAAGGGTAGTAGAACTAGGAAAAGTCCTTTGAGGCAGAATGTCTAACAATCTCGACACACTTGAAACAAAGGAGCGGTCGTACCAGCCAGTTCCAGATGTTCAATGTTCGACATAGTAAGGATGGAAGGCAAAAGCATTGTGATATAGCATCTTATAACACGACAGATATAAAACTAATATCAAGAGTAATAGTAGAGTAGCACCTCATTAAGGAACACCATGCAAGCTCTAAAGCTAATGTTTCATAAATTTTGGCTCCTACTGAGTCTAAAGAGAATCTCTTTTTCTATTATGGATGGATTCTAATGTTAAAAGTTGAATGGAACTATTAGCCAAGATGGCGAACTTCTGGTTTCATGGGATGAATGAAATAAACAAAGCAACACTTTACCCAATAAAAGTCATGTATGGATATTGAACACCATGACGAAACAGTTATTTATTTCTTCCATTACAGGTGGTTTCGTGGTGATACAGCCGATTTACAGCTAGAACTAGGCGTCCTGCAAGCCCACGTTCTATCCAGACCCATTCCTGCAAGCCCAAAGGTCTTGATACAATCTTTGAAAACCCCAGTGATGATTGCATGTGGTCTAATGTTCTTTCAACGGTTCTCTGGAGTGAACGCTTTCAACTTCTACGTGGTCAGCGTCTTCCAAGAGACCTTTGGAGGTACAAATCCTCATAGTGCAGCAGTGGCAGTAGCAGTGGTCCAGTTGTTGTCATCAGTGTTGTCTGGACTATTGGTTAGTATTTCCGCGTAATTTCAAAGCAAAATGTATTCTTTTCTTCATAAGTGATTCGAATGAACCCCAAGGAGACATTTTCCCGACTGCACGGGACAAATCGTCCTAGGTTCTACACTCATTAATTCAGTTTGAACTCGAATAGGTTATATTCTAGGACATTGACCTGTGAAATTTTGAGGATGCTGCTAATGATAGTTGTGTAGACCTTAGGTAGAAAAAAACTTTTCTGCATCGAGCTCTCCATAATCTTTAATAGCTTCTTTCGGTACAATAATTATCAATAATATAAGTATGAAATAATACATCATACAGATAAAGAAACTTGAGTGCAAGTAAAGGACAAATCTTCTGAAATGAGATTTTTTCGTCAATTACTGGTACTAACCTCACGTTACTTGTAAGTTTCTATACAGGCTGTTCAAAAAATATAGATACATCAAAATGTCTCGAAAAATACGTATCCTAGAGAAAAATGTTGTAGAAAACGTTAAAACGTTTGAAAATGGTGACCTTGAATGTGACATCGATACTAACCTTCAAGGTTATTTGAAGGTCCAGACAATTTATCCTTCAAATAATCAAGGTGACGGTCAAGTACACATAGTGACCTTGAGTATGAAATGTTTCGCTTTTTTACATCACCGACAAAAAGTAAGAGGTTTACTTCAAAATGTATCTGACCTTCAAATGATGTCATTCGCAAGGATATACTTCAACGTAACATTGTCCGTAACATCATCCACAAAAATGGATATGTCTCGCTAAAAATTCGTTGGATCTGACTTTGATGTCATGGACATCATGGACATACTCGAACATAGAGTTTTCTGATCTTTGTATCCCCGGTGTTGAGACTAGGGGTTTCCATTTAAGAAAACTCTCTTGTCCTTCAAATGACATTTAAGGTCTCGTTCAAAGTCGTCATTAAATGACCACTACAATTTAATTCTACATGTTTCTCTAGAAACTCTATTTTTCGAGATATTTATGTATCCATACTTTTTCACCCTGTATATGAGATATAAATCTACTTACAATTGAAATAGTAGTTAATAAATAAAGAAGCCAATAAGAATTGGATAAAGCTTGACGGAGAAAAAGGGTTCTTCTTTGCTGAATGTCCGGAACAAAACCTATTTTTAACAGCATCCCCATTATTTCACAGCTAGGAATATTCCCAGCGTTTCTTGAACCATACTGTAAATTATTCAATTTATATTTTAGTCTACATTCATCACTAAACATTCTCTTCCTAGGTTGATTCTGCAGGAAGACTGCCCCTTCTAGTAGCCTCGAGTGTGATGATGACTATGGCACTAGCATCCTTCGGCTCATTTTCATACTACAAAGAAACTAGCCCCCGGACGGGAACTCCACACCTAGACTGGATCCCACTGCTATGCGTCCTTTTGTTTACCGTAGCCTTTTCATTGGGCATAAGCCCAATATCCTGGCTGCTAGTGAGCGAGCTATTTTCGCTCGAACACAGAGGGTTTGGCACTGCATTAGCAACTGCATTCAGCTATCTGTGCGCGTTCATCGGTGTCAAGACCTTCGTTGACTTCAAGGTAAGCTTTTTTGTCGCTAAATATGAGATATATGATTTTTCCATTTTTGGCAATTTTCACCAAGGGCAAAATAGGGCTCCGGATCTCGATCTATCCTAAGGCCCTTTTAGCTTCTGTGTTCAAGGGCACCTACGCAACTTAAGATAACCCTCCTAAGAAATGAGTTGGAATCTAAATTCAAAATGGCAATGGAAAAAGCAGGAGGCATTAATTTCTATGCGGGTCTTCTTCCTTGGTACACCCTATGTGCTCCCATCCAGCCTGGTGGGCTTTGGCTAGCTATGTATAGTCTCGGAAGAGTGGAGTTCTTGCTATTCGCAGTTTGTTCATGTTAGTTTCAAGCATCATCATGTATTAATTCACTAACATATTATTTGCTTTTCTCTCTCCAAGGAGCTTCTGGGTCTGTATGGGGCTTTCTGGTTGTACGCTTTCATAAGCGTCTGCGGGCTGTGCTTCGTCGTCTGCTGCGTTCCAGAGACGAAAGGCCAGGATCTCACCGAGATTGACACGGGCAGGTGATCAAACGCGATCAGACAGATCAATAAAGTCTCCATTAGTGTCGTAGAAAGATATTGCTAAATTAAGTTTTGTTCGAACCAGAAGAGTTAGATGATATTCAGTGAGTACGAAATATTGAATTGTGTACGCAGCCAACTTTTTACAAATTATTGCACTTATGTTTATTTCTAAACTATTCGTTTTAGGGATCGCTAAATTCTCGAGTAGAGATGTCATACCTCAAGTTTTTTTTTTATAGACGACAAGACTATTATATTCAAGAAATTAAAAAATGAAGATACATGTATAGTCAGTCGGGTGTGTACATTTCTGGGTTTACTACTACAAATAGCATTTAGTTAGAAAAGTGAGACCTTTAAAACTGCTGTGTTTCCATTATAAATTAAATCTATCCAGACTCATGTAATAAACTCGAAAATTTAAGAAGGTGTTCCTATGTTTTTCGTAACAGATAGACACCCATAAACCTTATGTCATAAAAAAGTTTGTGAAAAGGGAAACCCAAAAAATTTAATTCTATACAAGGTGTGTCATTTGAAAACTTTGATAAATAGTTCACTTTGCATTATTGACCACCATGTATAAACTATCCTAGAAACTGAAAAAGAAAGAACATAGGAACAAACTATTTTTTTGACAAAAGATTCAGTACCCTAGCTATAACATTTGCGGGCGTACAAGTTGTCAATGTTGAGTCTTTGATAGATTGTCCAACATTTCAACAATTTGAACAGGAACCTCTACAGTATGTAACCAATTGTTAAGTTTGAAAACGGCTTTCCGAATCTGCAAAAGTGTAGGCTTTTCTATTTAAAAAAATGTATGTTTAGAACACAGCGTAGGTAATTATGAACCAGCCTGAAGAGACAAACGTAATTTCTGAGTCAGGAGCAGCATACTATTGGCTACAATTTTGGCATTTAACTTTTTTAGCTACCATGCGTAATAACGGAGCTAACGACCGAGCCTAAAAACGCACCTAAATGAGGATACGCCTACTCAGCTACTTGAGTGCGATAGATAAATTGGCGGCTCGGCGAGAGGTTCACTGCTGTCAGTTTTGCCAGGCATGTAAGCGAGTACAAACGGGTTGACTTTAAATCAATAGTGAGGCAAAAGATGCTGAGCAAGATACAGATTATAAAAACAATTCAAGTAATCGTCATAATAGACGGCGCGTTGTGCTGTCGTTCTTTTCAAACTAGTAGTCGATTTCTTTTTGCTGGCTTGTACACGCGTGATGTCGAATTACATGTACCACGATGAGAATAGAATATGATATTAATATTTAAGGCAACGCTTCCCACCATGATGAAATGCTGCAAGCAGTATCATGATTGGATATGGGGATGAACGGCTGAGGAGTTCTGGTGTGTATATCGCATTCTGGAGAAGAGGCCGACAAGACAGTGTTGTCGAGCTTTTTTGCCTGAGAATTCAATATTTCAAACATAATACCTAGTCCAGTCAAACATTCTTGTACCGTAATTAATGAAATATTTTTTCTTTAAATTACATAGATGTTCGTTGCTCAGAAACCACGTGGGTGCGGACATATAGTACCGAGCAAGAGTAGAGAAACAAACCACATTACAAATAAAAATCCAGAAATCTTTACTCTAACCTTAAACTGTATACTAATGTTTTTTTATGTATGACTACCTCAAGATAATGAAATGCTCATCTTTTTTTTCAATATAATATGGTCGGTTCTTTGTTCAACGATGAGAAACATTTTGTAAATATTTAGATTATATTTAGTCGTTGATTAGAATAGGTGTTATTTTTGAGTGTATTTGGTAAAGTGTAGTTCAAAAACATGACCAGAGGAATTATATTGAATTTACAAATAAAAGAATTGATTATTTTAAAATATCGATCAGGCCTTAAACAAGCAAACATAGCCAAATAGCTGAATTTAAGCCGATCGGTAATTTGCAAAACTATTAAGCTCTTACGCCTCAGAAATTCGTTGGTAAGCCCACCTAAGACTGGTGGACCGCGAAAAAACACACCTAGGATTGATAGGAAAATTAAAACACTTGCTCTTAAAAATCCGTTTACTAGTGCTGTCGACATAAAAGCTCAACTTGAAGAAGTAAATATTGGTGTCCACACTGTTCGAAGAATTTTAAGGGAGAGTGATTTACCAGCAATGAGACCATATAAAAAACCCTTTATTTCCAAGAGAAATCGGACTGCCCGTCTTCAATATACTTACGATCATTTGAACTGGTCAGAAACAAGGTGGAAATCTGTATCATTTTCTGATGAAAGTAAATTTAATTTTCATCAGATGGCATTTTATGAGTAAGACGTCCTAGAAACAAGCGATTTGATCCTAAGTTCACTTTGGGCACAATCAAACACGGAGGCGGGAAGGTTCAAGTATGGGGTCTTCAAATGGGACCCATCGTCAAAATTGAAGGAATTATGCACCGGTACAAATACTTGGAAATGTTAACTGATACCATGCTGCCTTACGCAGAAGAAAGCATGCCTCTACGCTGGCGGTTCCAGTACGACAACGACCCCAAGCACACAGCGAAAATATTAAAAACATTTTTTGCAGATCACAATATTAATATCATTAAGTGGCCAGCTCAGAGTCCAAACCTTAACCCCATAGAGAACCTATGGGATTTAGTTGATAAAAAAATTCGGACTGAACATCCAGAAAAGTTCAAAAATAGTGCCAAACTATTTGAAACAATCAAAGTCGCCTGGAATTCTATTCCAAAAGAAACAATAGATAGCTTAATTGGTTCTATGAGAAAAAGATGTCAGTTATCAAAAATAAAGATTATGCAACCAAGTATTAGCTTCTTTGTATACGACAATTGCTTTCTATATTATGTTTCTCTATTTTTGCTCGCTGTATTTTCCAATAATAATTGTTAGCATAGTTTTATTAAAGCAGAAATTTTATTTTCCTGTTGGCTTTGAATTACATGTTACACTAAGTTATAATAATTACATAAGTGTTTAGTTTAGTTTACTTTAATAGTTTATTAAAATCTTAAAAAAAATAAAACGCTTCTCCACTTTTGCTTGGTACTGTAGGTATCTTAATATAAAATCCGAAACGTATCATGCTGGCCAAATAAACCACATATCTGAAAATTCCTTTTTGCTGGTGTTTCGCCCATCAGCAAATTCTACAGATATATTATTTTCATTTGACCAGAAAAATCCGTTTTCATTTATATTTATCTTTGCTTCATTTTCAGTAAGACCACTGACTATACTGTACACAGCCTTCAGCTCGTATAACACAACGTACTCGCAAAACTTTTGTATCTCTGGTTCGAATGAATAAAGTTCGCTTTTCAACGAAACTGGCACTTTATTGGTCTCGTCTGGGAGCATATCGCGATGAAAGGTGGGTAGATGAGGATGTAAGGACAACCGCAACTTCGAAAACTGGGAAAAGTTTATTTTCTTTTCTTACTTCCCTTTCAAGGTGATGGTATCTGTATCGTTCTCGGTTTTATATGTTTTCGTTTACATCTGAAATTTTGCATTTATAGTGATTGGGTTGAACTGAAATAATGGATGTTTTATTCAGGTGACGAAATTTTGGTTTGTTAAAAGATTATGAGAGTCTATTTGTACGAGGCTGTCAACAATGACTAGCATAATAATAATTTGAACATACGGACGATACAAATACTAGATTTTTTCACAATACAAATAATTTTTCTCGCGGGGGTCGATTGCGTAAAGCTAAGATGGAAGGAAGTTTACTGATATGAACTCGAGCAGAAGTTGTCAATTTTAGGATACCCATGCTCATAAAGGGGAAAGTTATATCTAATATAATTATTATGAATAATTGAAACAACTTAATACTGTCCACAAATCGCAAACAACACCTTCGTTTTTCTATGTAATCGGCCCTCACTCATGTTTTTCCTAACGATTATCTTCAGCATTCGTGATCTACAAGCACAAATGCTACAAAAACTAAATCAAATTTAAAAATCTTCCAGAAATGTTGATATAGATATATACAATTAGTTCTGTGATATACATTTCTATATACACTCTTGTTCTCAAACTGAAAAGAAGATAAGCTCAACGTTGTATACATCATCACAGTACTATTTGACAAATAATTTTATAATCAATATGACAATTTTATTATATGCTAAGTCTTGGTACAAGGAAAAGAAAATGTATGTACTTGTTACGTTGTGCACAAAGTATATTTACGGTTTATACAGGGTGTCCAATAAGTACCACGACAAACTTAAGGAGAAGGTAGGCTTTGGGCTGACCTCCCAAATAACAAAAACTTAACTATATAATGAGATAATGAATTTTTTCTTAAATTTAAAAAAAACGAACCTTTTCATCTGTGGTCTTTAGCTGCATGTACAAATAAGGTTATACTTCGTTCATTTTTTCTATAAAATACTTCTAGATAGTTGCTTTATCATATACAAATGCAATGTAGTTAAAAATAATAAAATAATTGTTTTGTATTGTTACTGACTCGAGTCCGAATTTCAGTAAGTATCATAAAATCATATCAGGAGCAGGTAACAACAATGTAGCTTTGTACTATTTAGCATGTCACTGATCGCTAACCAGTGCAACTTGAATTTAAATCCAATAATTACATTGTAGTGTGTGGCTGTTACTTACAAAAGCAGCTATCACTTTTTTCTATTCCAAATAGTTAGTGTGGTGTCTTTCTGAAACCTGTATTCAATGAGCATCTTTTTATTCAATATAATGCAGTTATACCCAGTGCATTTATGTTTCACCACAGATGGTCAAAGTTGAGGAAAATGTATCAGGTTATAAATCCCAAAATAGTCCTTATTTGATCATGGTTCCTTAATATCTTTTATCTACATTGTATTTGTATATGATAAAGCAACTATCTAGAAGTATTTTATAGAAAAAATGAACAAAGTATAACCCTATTTGTACATGCAGCTAAATACCATAGATGAAAAGGGTCGTTTTTAAGATTTAAGAAGGAATTCAATATCTCAAAAACGGTGACACTTTTATATAGGTAAGTCTTTGTTATTTGGGAGGTCAGTACAAAGCATACATTCACCTGAAGTTTGTCGTGGTACTTATTGGTCGCCCTGTATAGGTAGATTCAGTATATTATATACTCATTTATAGAATACTTCCAAATTATGTACATATGTATGTACTGTATTGCGCAAAACGGCACCCTCATTCAGGAACT